GAAGAACACATTACTCAGCTCCTCCGGGGCTTCTCCATCAATAAAAACTGGCTTCACACCTCCAACCTGCCAGCCTCCTCCCCATCTCCACCGGAGCTCACGGTGACGTCTCAGGCGCACGGCACACAGGCATTTCTAGATACCCACGGTGTGTGCGAGGCAGCCCTGTCGCCACGAGCTTACTCAGCATGGAGGCGTCATCATCCGAATCCACGAGGAGCACGTGGAACCCCCGCGTGGGGACTCACGAGGGAGGTGCTAGGGGGTTGCCACAGAAAAGAAACCTGCAAGGGCTGGGGGCGAAGGGGCTGCAAGGAGCAGCTGGAGCGCACCGGATAGTGAGGGGCCAGGCGCTCCGTGGGGAGGCTTCCAGGAGGGAGGCAGGGACAGGTGTGGATCGGCCCATCCCACTGGAAAGGCCTGCCCATTCTCCAAGAACAATGCAATGTTTGTAAAACTCAGGATGAGGCTGGGGGTGGTGGCGCACGCCCGTGATCCCAGAACTTTGGGAGGCCGAGGCGGGGGGATGACCTGAGGTGAGGAGTTTGAGACCATCCTGGCCAACGTGGTGAAACCCCATCTCTATTAAAAATACAAGAGAATTAGCTGGACGTGTTGGCGTGTGCCTGTAATCCCAGCTACTCGGGAGGCTGTGGCTGGAGAATCTCCTGAACCTAAGAGGTGGATGTTGCAGTGAGCTGAGATCAGACCACTGCACTCCAGCCCGGGGGACAGAAAAAATAAAAATTAAAAAGAGCTCAGGATGAGCCTGACTCACGATGACAGAAGGAGCAATCAGGGAGGCAATGTTAGCTGTTATGGGCTGCGTTACATCCCCCACCAACCACCACCAAATTCATAGGTCGAAATCCTAACCTCCAGGACCTCTGAATGTGACTGTATGAAAAAGGTGACGAAGTTGAAGTAGACTTGAAGGTAAGAAAAAAAAAAAAAGAAGTTTAAAAAAGAAAAAGAAAAAGAAAAAAAAAGAGGTGACAAAGTTAAAACGAGGTCATGACCTTGCACCCTAGTATGACTGGTGTCCTTATCAGAAAAGGAGATGAGGACTGCAGACACACAGAGAAGACCACGTGAGGACACAGGGAGAAGACATCAGCAAGACAAGGACAGTGGCCTTAGGAGAAACCGACCCTGCCCACATCTTCGGACTTCCAGCCTCCAGACTATGAGAAAATCAATTTCTGTTGTTTAAGCCCAGTCCGTGGTACTTTGTTATGGCAGCCCTAGCAAACTATACAGTAGCATTAAAATATGATCCCAACAACTGGTCTTCTTTTAAGAATCTTACAACAAAATTACTATCATTTTCATTTCACAACTATTTTGGCTGCCTGGGAAGCAGACGTAATGGCATCTACTTATTCAAGTTTATTTCAGAGCTGCTGCTCCCTGTTTATCCTTTCTCCTGGTCTTCCCTAATTCTGTTCCCACTGTGTATTCCGTGCCTTTTCCTGAAATGCTGCTGCTCTGGGTTCGTTAGCTGTCTTTTGTTTCTGTTGCTGGCTGACAAACTTAACACCTGCGACAAAGCTGAATTGACGTTTTTAAATAACTAATGCAATTCAAAAAACTGCAGCTAAAGGATATTTAGTTTTTACATTCATGTGTCTTCACAAACCCACGAAAATCTTCAGATTGTAGAAACTTACCCTTTCTAAGTCATCAAGCTTATTCTCTTGCCTTTAAGCCAGACCTCTCTCTCTTTAAACTACCTTAGGAAATGAGAATTTCTCCTATTTAAAAAGTAATTCCAGGGAGGGAGATTCCACAACTTTCCTGAGCAAGACATTACAAGTCTTATTGGATGAGTCAAGTAATCCAACACCCAACTCAGGACTGTGCCTGACTCAGCCAGGCGGGACTTTCTTATTTCTCTCCTTCGAAATGATGCAATAATTTGCAGTGGAAGACTACACCAGAAGAAAACAGCAAACGGGGACTGTGATGAGTCCTTTATATAATGGTGGCAGTTGTGTTTAGGGGAGGTACTATGCAGGTATGTCTGTATTGGTATAGAATATGCGATTTCCATCATCGTTCATGCACATTTAACTTAAGAAACTGAGATGAAAGAGTGAAATAAAGAACACGGGAGGAGAAATAATGTGCAGAACACAATTTGGACTAATGCAGAGAAAAATGAGACCAAGAGCATCGAGGGACAGGCCGGAAAGAAGTACC